TTGGTGGGAGCCTAGCCAGTTTGAATGTTCACCTTCCTAGACATGGACGGAGCGGGGAGGACCTTGGACTTTCCACAGGGCAGGGAACCCTGACTGCTCTGCTCTTTGGACTGGAGAGGGAGGGGGAGAAGAGTGGGGGGAGGGGGAGAAGAATGGGGGTGGGGGAGGGAAATGGGAGGCTGGGAGGAGGCGGAAACTTTTTTTTTCCTATTCTCAATAAAAAAAAAAAGAAAAAAAAAGTTGCCCTCATTGACCCATATTGATGGCCGCCATTGTTTATGGATCCACAGTGTGACTTAAATTCTCTTCTCTAATTTTCTGCTAATTGCCTAAAAAAAAAAAATGCTGTAATTGTGCTTTTCAGCTGCCTGCGTGGCAAAGGCTCACCTTGATTATATACTTATTGCATCACCTAAGGCACTATGTTGGTGCACAAGCATTTCTGGAAACTAAAATGACACATGCCTAGGGCGATCGCCAGTTACTGCAGCCCTCTGACTTGGGAGAAACAGGAATTAGAAAGGTCAGTGTTCAAAATTCCTGCTTCATCTGTCTGCAGTCATGTATTTTTATCTAGGAAGAGAAAAGTATGGTTACTGTAAATGGTTCGCCTCTGGCCAACTAACAAAATTAGGGCAAAGTTTATCAAAGTCACTTCGAGTTTGGAGCCAACTATCCAATGTCTTATCAGCTAAATCATTTTGTGCCAAAACTTTTTGAATAGAATTGTTACCCGATGGCCCGGCCTGCTCCACATGATACCCAATGGCCATTCAATCCATTAGAGAAGACTCAACTTTATTTCTTTCTAATTTATAGATAAATATGAGTATTCTCAGCCTTTAGAACCCCTGCTCCATAGAGTTCTAGGAAGTGAAAAATTGTCTTAAATGGTTTGAATAGTTTTCATTTCTTCCTCCTTATCTTGCATACTAGACTTATTTGGATGGTGAATCAAGTGGATATAGGTTTCTGATAGTTTCAAGTAGGGAGAAAGCCTGAGCAATGCAGACATCTCTTCCCTTCTTATTTCAGAAAGGGAAATACAAATATATATCACCTCAGAAATCCAATTCTGGAAGAGTAGCCTTATGCCCAGCTCCACAGTTACGGTGAACAAATAGCAGATGCTGGTGTACAACCAGCCATCTGCGTAACTGTACTTTAGAAATGCAAGCTGAACAAGAAGCCTTATCTGCAGAAGGGGTTATTGGCTCTGCCAATGCATATGTAGTTTTTCACAAGCATAGGAATTTATTGGTTTAATAAGGAATGAGGCATGCTTCCTTTGGGCAAATGTCTGTATAATGTATCGCTGCCCAACAAATCACCCTACCTCTTAGATTCAAAGCAAGAGTTCACAAAGTTTTCCCTGCAAAAGAAAAGATGTTATGTTTTTAGGCTCTTCACACCACTGAGTCTTGATTATTCAACTTTGCCACTTTTGTGCAATGTGAAAAATAGTCTTAGATAACATGTATGTAAATATATATGTCTGTGTTACCTCAGATTCTGCATTTTTAAAAATAGCTGATGTCTAGGATTTGTTCCATGAGCTATATGCTATTTCCTGGTTTAAAACAATTGTACTACCTATTCTTATGAGTCTTTGGGTGATGTGTGGCTATCTATTACTGGGCAGGCCATCTTAGTATACTATAGCCACTGTCATGTAACTAGTATTTGGTCCAGAGCCGTTAGCTGACTTGACATTTCTTTCCTGTTTGCTCCCTTCTGCTTCCTTGAAAGTAGTTCAAGCTTCTTTGAAATGGTATCCTCAACACAGCTGATAATGCAGCCTTGAAAAACAGCTCCCTTGGTCATGCTGGCTAAAGTGACCCTGGACAAAGTGTGGCAATTGGCTAAGTGAAGACTGAAGAGGCTTTGAGGGGTGGAGGATGTGGGTATACAGCAGCATATGGTGGAAGTACAAACACAGAGAGACAGAGGGGTTCTTTTCACTGGTGCAAACAATCATACAAAGTTTGTTAAGCAATAAACAACAATTTCACCTCAGTGGTCTCAAGACTACACAATTCCATAAACAAGGTTTAAAAATAGTTTTGACAGCAAAATGGCCTTCACGGTTTGCAAATAATTTTCCTACAAAATCTATGTTATTTAAAAGTTATTTTAACATATTGCAAAAATTACATTCCTAGAGCAGAAATAGAAAGGAGGATCCAAAGAACAAATAATCCCTGTTGAAGACTACCTAGATGAAAGAGGTTTTAGCTAGGCAAGTCAGTAGGGTGATTTACTGATGGTTTAATCTTTACTTAAATTCCTGATATCCTGCAGAGCCTACCTTTAATGGTTTACGTTGAACACACTGCCTGTCATCATGATAGACATAGTGGCCTCTGGCTTAGAATATTCTATTAGAGCCTCCTGAACAGCAGGGCACACAACCAGCACCAGACCTCATACTAACTTGTCAAGGAGTACGATGAACTAAAACCATAGATTTACTGTAATTCTGAAGAGCACTTAAAATACCTAAAAATGTGTGTGTGTGTGTGTGTGTGTGTGTGTGTGTGCTTGTGCATGTGTGAGTGCTTCAATGGCTAACTTCTTTCAGCTTTCCACAGACTAGTCTTTTCTGGGAAAAGAGGACCTCAACTTGAGGAACTGTGTCCCTCAGATTGCTGTAGGAACATATCTCTTTGTCTCTGTCTCTCTCTCTGTCTCTCTCTGTCTCTGTCTCTGTGTGTGTGTGTGTGTGTGTGTGTGTGTGTGTGTGTGTGCGTGGGGGGGGGGGACTTTTTCTTGATGAATGATTAATGTGATAGTTCCCATCCCATCGTGGTGAACAGTCCCACCAGAATAGGTTGGTTTGGGCTGCTTAAGAAGTCATGGAGAACAAACCAGTAAACAGCATTTCCCCATGGTTTATTCTTTAATTTCTACTTATACATACATACACACATATATAGAATATTTATGTATTCTGGTTGTGTGTGTATATATATATATTAGTTTAATAGACAATATATATGAATTTAATAGACAGGTATTAGAAATTGCATGTTGTTTTTGGAACCTTCTAATACTACTTAAAGGAAAACATCTCACCTATTAAGCCAGTAAAAGAACTTTTGCAAGTCTTCTTCCTCTGGAATGGTGATGAAGTAATTGAAATGCTTTCGTGTGCATTAGAATTGCAAAATGTTCACTGTACTGTAGAACATGCTGAATCAAATTACAAGAGTTATGATATCGATGCTTGCTACATACAGGAAACCTGAAATATGCCTTCTTTTGAAAGGTCTTCAGAATCTTATGCAGAGATTAGTACATTCATTCTATTTGTTTCTTCTCCAGTGAAAACAAAGAAGGAAGACTTGTAGGGGTTAGGGATGTTGTTGGCTTCCAGCAGTGTGCTGCTGAAATTATGCAGGAGGACTAAAGCCCTGATTTGCCTAATCTAGGATTGTCCAGTGTGAGGCTCTAAATCATCTTGGCTGTGTGTGATCCGCTACTGGGTTGTTACTGGACATGATGTTAGGGGGATGCGCATGGCCAGCTATCCTGCTGCTGTAGGAGGTAGCTCCGACTCTTGTCAAGATTAAACACAGGACAGGAAGGATGAAGCAGGGAATTGGGCTCCTAGTTCTCTATAAAGCCCGTCTTCCAAGTCACTATATAATGTCTTCCTCACTAAACCACTCCCATGACGAAGTGTTACACCATGAATAACATCTTCAGAGACAGAGGTTCCTCTTTATTCTATCTTGAAAATGAATTCCATCCTGGAAGCGTTATTTCAGAATTAATCAAATTACGCTAAAGGCCCAGAAACCCATTTATGCATTATTTCATGACTTCCTTTCTCCCTCTCCATCATTATCATAAGACTTTTGTGAGTGTCCATAGTGTAGTGGTTCATGTTGTCTACTTGACAAAAAAAAATCTTGACACACCTGGGAGTCTGGCCTCTGGATAAACCTGTGGGGGATTATCTTGATTAAGTTAATTAAAGGATAAAGCCTTCCCCTCTGTGGGTGGGCCATTCTTAGGGATCTCGGAGGAAAGGGGCTGAGCCCTGGTGCACAGGCACACACTGCTCTCTTCCGAATGCAGATGGTTGTTTTCAGCTCCTTCAGGTTCCTGCTGTCTGACTCCCCCTCCACAATGGACTGAGCCTTCAACCCTGAGCTGTAAGGCAGTCTTTCCCCTCTAAGAAACTTTGGGCAGGGTCTTTTAGCACAGCAACCGGGAACAAAACTGAGCCACTTAGAGTTGTACCCTACCCACCTTTTGCTGTCACGCTTCATCTTAAATCATTAGGCTTGCCGTCCAACAAATCTCCTCGCTTCCCCTGTTCTAATTTTCTCCGAATACTCACCTATTTAGTTTTCTTTCCTGTCACACAACTCTCAGACTGGCATTCCTGTTCCTCAGCAGCTGAGCAGGAAGTAGATGCAAAGCATCCCTATAACTTAAATAAGATAGGTTCATAGTTTAAGAATGACTTATCCTTAGTATACCAGAGTTTTGTCATCTGGAAATGGAGGTAAAATATTAGCTATCTAATATTCAACAAATGTTCGATGAATTAAAAAATATAAGCCCATAAAACTATAGACTACAAGAGAAACAAATACAAATGTTTGGCCAGAAAAGTGATGCTTAAGACAAATGAGATCCAGAAAAATGTGAAGCTAACAAAAGGAACATAACACAGGTGGGACACACTCTAATCAATTTCAAGCAGATTTTCTGAAAGAAATAACAACCTTTTTTAATAATAAGAAACAAAACTGGTTATGGATACTTTCTTTACATAACACAGTATATGCTGAGGATTTTAATTGTTTGTTAAGATAATCAAAATTCAGATAGGCACTGTTTACCATTATCATGGATTGAAGGAGTGGCCAATGAGTCATTATTTTTCCCAAATAACTGTGTATTTATTAAGCTTAAAAATAAGAGAAGTGGTTTGGTGATTTAGCATCTCTAGTTGGTCTGTCGGGAACAACTCATGAAAAACTTACCTGTGGTTAAAACAGAGGCAGGTTTGCACTGTCCCAGAGCAAAGAGGGGTCAACAACCCCTCCAGAATTCTCATACTGTCTGCAAATGGCTGAATTGGAATAAGTGGATATCCAGCAAAATTACTCTTTCACAGTTCTGCAGAAAAGTGAAAACAGAAATTAAATCATTTTAAAATAAAAGGAACCGTTTGGTTTATTTTCTCCCCACGTAAAGATAGAATGTGTTCTGTGAAACTGCTCGTTTCCAATGGACAGTCCTTACTGTGAAGAAGTTAGAAATCGTCTTACCTTTTGTCTGATGTATCTTTTAATGGATCTGTGAAAAATGGGTAAGAGAGATCCCGACTTTCTGATGAGATTATTACTTTTATTCTGAAGTACAGAGAAAGTGGCCAGTTAGCTAAGCCAATCACGGCTTGGTAACGTTACACATCTTAGAAATTTTGAAGAGTCGTACAGGATGGTGACTAAGAATTTTATTTTACCCTAGTGTATTTTCAACTGCATCCAGGCAAATGAAGATAAAGAGATAGGAAATAGAGCTAATTCAGATGACTGAAATTCAAATAAAATTAAAGCAACAGCATAAACCTCCGAGTCAGGAAACGCAGGCAGAAGTGAATTCAATTTTAAATAGTAGTTAGTTATAGTCGGACTGCAAACATAATTTGTAAGTCATGCATCAGACTGCTGGAAGAACCATATAATAAAGTCTGTGTCTTGAGTCTGACCTTTACTTCCCGGCTTCTATCCTAATATCCCTGTTGCTCCGTTGAATCCACGCTTCAGTGAGAGATGGTAGAAAATACAAGACTGTGACAAGCTTTGGGCAGAGAAGTTTTCCTGCTGAAGAAAAAAAAAATCATTGACTTAATGTTTAACTAAAACCCTTCTAATAGATGGGAACTAGTGATAGTGGGGAAAATCCTGTCCCAACAAAATGAAAAATAAATCTATTGAACACCGGAGTTCTGTTTTCGAACGCTTCCTTCTGTTGTCACAAAGAAAGCTAACAGCATCACTGTCGGAGTGTGCAGCTTGAGAAAGGGATTTTTCCTCAGACGTTAAAGGCCTTGCCTCTTCCTTCTTCCTTCTTCATAGCATATTATGCAGTTTCTTCTCTTCAAAATGTAACATGATTGCAAGAATACTACATTGAAACAATAACCGGGAACCTTTTTAAACTCCACAGTAGAAAGAAACGAGAAAATCAATTTCTACCTGAAATTTTGAACTGGGAAAAAAACTTCTTTCTTTCATAATTCTAGGTAAGTCATTTTATATTTGTTGACCTGTAAAATAACGGGGCATTTTAAAAGCATAATTTATTTTATCTGCAAGAAATAGATCACTGATGAATATTAACTCGAAACATGTTCTAGTTTCAACAGATTGCAAAGCAGATGTCGTGAGAAAGCTAAATAAATAATAAATACAATGAGAGGAGTCAGAATTACTCACAGAGTGAAGATGAAAGCCCTAATAATGACAACGCTGTGAACAAAACATTTGAAGAGAAGGCAGGATACATAGCTTGTGGATGGAAATTCTCCTCTTCCCATACGTTCCCAGGGATGCATTTTATTACAAACTTAGGATCTAGTATCATGAATGTAAAGCATGGTGAAATTTTGAGGTGTTATACCAATTATCTTTTGGCATAAAAATCCACTTCAAACGTCCCTAATACAAACTCTGCATTATGAAGATGTTGAGGTTAATAGCTTTAGTTCTTTAGTACAGATAGCTAGCAGTCCTGCAAGTTAACTTGATTTGGTTGTACAAACTACCCATTTAACTAATAAACCCTCACTTCTTTCTCTCTTGAGCATTTTCTTTGTACATACAGTCTAATTTCCAGAAAACAGTTGACAGTGTTTAAACTGATCGTTTTTATGGAATGCATGATGTGTCATGAGCAACACAAACAAATACATTAATTGTCTTATCACGGTTTTATCTGACAGATGGGTCCCCAGGCACAGAGCCTAACCTTTTATTTTGACACCTGCCACATCTCTCCAGCCCTGACCCTTTTCCTTTGCCAGAGTGGCGCTGTGCGGTTCACCATGGTTGCATTAATCTCCAGCTTTTAGAAGGCAAAATGTTGGAGTCCTTCTGAGAATCACAGCCATCAGTCAGCTGATACCACAACAGAGAATAGCTCACAGATCCATCCAGCATCCACTCTCTCCTGTGATCCAAACCCGTTTTCTCTTATTCCTGTGACCTACTGGTTCAATAAGATTACACTGAGCTCCTTTCAGTCAAAGGCCCCATAGTGCTAACATGTGACAGGAACCATTTGATTTAGTAGTCTCTTAAACTCAGAATTAATTGGAGATTTGTTTCAAAAAGAAGCAAGGTTTTGACATTTGGGCTAAAAGGTACATTTTGCCCACAAAAATGTGCATTAGACTCTGGCTTATGAGTTAGGAACAACAGGAACCCTTACATTTCAAAAGACAAAGAGCCATCAAGGCAATAATTGTGCGTTGTGAAACACAACACACACACACACACACACACACAATCTCCCGCTTGCACCTTTGGTTTCTGGGGTGATTCCAGAAACTATTGTCATGTGATATGTGTCCTGGTTAGGACAGCTCACAGCACATGTCTGGTCCATTGAAAAGAGAGGTTCGGTTCTAAAGCGTTTCACAAATCAGTGAACGTACAGAAGACAGGTGAATTATGAGGGCACATCCATTATCGGGGTGATTTGGTGTAAATTTCCAGGGATTGTCTCCTTGAGCAAAAGCAGACGATAATGAATTATAGAAAATGCTGTAATCAATCTTAGAGGGGGAGGAAGTTGGAAACAAAGAAACAGAAAACTAGATATGTAGACAAGAGATAAGATTTTAGAAGCATATAGATTGTTCCACTAGCCCAGACCAGTTCGGTTTAAAATACCACTTCTGAAATGTGTAATTTGTCTTTCCCGGTGGCATCTGTTAGTTCTGGAATAAGCTTATTTCATAAAATGTAAAAAGCCAGGGACTAAGTTTTGGTTAAGCTAAGATTCTTAATAATTTAGAGGCCCATTTGTGCCAGCCAGGATATATATGCTCACTGAAAGAAGTATGGGATCTATATCTTACAACAGTCAAAGAAAATGCTGCTTCACGCCCGGGGCTAAGGGCTATTGGAGTCAAGGTAATTATGGCAGCTTCGGGTACCTCTGCCATGTCAGCAGTTCTTTCGTCTTTACTGATCCCTTATTAACATGACTCAGCTCGACCGTACATATTCCTCTTTCTTCCCTGACGCTACCCAGCTTTCACAGGTCACTCTGAGGTCCCGGCGCCTCTGATCTGCCTTGGTATGCTACAGAAAATCCTAACGTACCAAACCTAAACCCAGAGACAAAACAGCGACAACAATAACACGTCCATCTCAAGTGTTAAGGCGTAATCACCAACTTCGCAGGTTACTAGTTACAACGTGGCCCCGGTCCCACCAGCTGTGGAGAGGATTAGAGACAGTATGTGTGTAGAGGTGGCAATTTGGTTGGCGTGCATTCTTGATGGTGGTGATTCTCTTAGAGAAGGTACTCGTCCTGAACATTTGAACAATACTCAGAATGTAGTCCAGGCGCTGGAAGGGATCTGGATGCTGCTCGTTACCCACCCAGGGCAATGAACACACTGAAGACTGTGATTCAGGCAACCTGTAGCTCTCTGCTAAGGATATCTGACAGCCTCTGAATCTCACAATCAAATATGAGACTACTTTTTTTTAACCTAACTTGTTTCTTAAATTTTTATAATAACTCAATTATCCATATTGATTTTTTTTAAAGAGCGGTAATGACTGTGCATATTAGCAGTGGGTAAAAAAGCAGAATTTCCAAGGGTTAGACGACTCAGACTGTTTCAGGAGGCCCTTCTAGCTGATTAATGTATAAAGATCAAATCTTTATGAACAAATTATAATTCTCCGAACACTGGGTTCCTCCTCCGAAAGCAGAAAGTGCAGTGGCACAATTCACCAGATCACATTATTGTCAGTAATAAGAAGGCAAAATAGAATGGATTTTGAAAACTAGTAATGGGCTAATCAAAATTAAGTCATTATATTTTTCTCCTTTTCAAGTCACTCTTGGGGGTTTAAACGATAACTCAGTGGGTTATAGTGTTTGCCATGCTAGCTTGAGCATCCTCAGGACCTGTGGAAAGCCAGGCACAGTAGTGTGGGTCTGCGCTCATAGCACCCCTGCAGTGTGAGAGGAGGTAGAGCTGGGGAATTTCTCAGAAACTTGTGGTTGAGCTAGCTTGGTATAGACAGGCAGAGAACCCGTTTCAAGGTGGATAATGAAGGTCAACACCAGAGGCTGTCGTTGAACTGTGGCACTCATACATAGTAACACACACACATGCACACACACACACACACACACACACAGAGTTACACAAGTGCAAGAATACATACATACACTAAGACTAAAAAATTATCTGTCATCTACCTATCTATATCTATGTATCATCTATCTATCTATCTATCTATCTATCTATCTACCTACCTACCTACCTACCTACCTACCTACCTACCTACCTATCATCTTTGATCCCACTAACATCTGAAAAATCAAGTGTATATACTCAACATTATCATAATAGTTATATTTATTTGAATATTACTATCCATATTAGTATGGACTTTTCTCAAACAGTAGTTAAACTGTAAATTTACAAAGATTGCTTCAGGACATATCCTGTTCTTGAGGTTTGAAGCTAAGCCGATTGTGAATGCTACTTAAACATATTTATTCAGTATAATACTTTAAAAACTACCAAGAGGAAGTCCATATTTAATACATTAATGAAAATATATTAAAGGGTAAAGATACCCAAAAGTGGGAGAGAGGGTTTCATGATATACTGTTGAGAGTAACTGCGTATTTCTGGTGGAATTCGTGCAGCATTTAGATTTATAGATTATATTGAGAAAGGGGGAACTGCCTTATATTGCGAGGGAACTACCCTATTTCAGGCAAGTAAATCCTCCAATGAAGATGATAGATTCAGGTCATTTATGTATACAAGTGAATTGATGTATATATACAGAAATGTGAGAAAATAAAGGCACCCAGAAAACATAAAACCAATAAATTTTAAATGTCTAAAATTGGAAACTGCAAAAGTTTTTGTAGTTTCCAGCACCCATTAGTGGTATTAGATTATTAAAACTGGACATCTAGAAATGGAATTGCTAGACCAGTGTGCTGGTTCCGCCAGTAAAAGTAGGAACTTACCACTCACCATAAAGACCTGAGTTTGACTCCTGGAACCCAATGGTCAAAGGGGATAACTGACTCTCACAGTTTCCTCCTGAAGTCCTCATGTTCTTTGGTGCACACATAGAACCTCATACATGTACCTCCACACATACACACATGCACACACATGCATGCATAGAGACACAGAGAAAGTAAATAGGAGCAGAAAATGAAACAGGACTGCCTATTACAAAATATCACTTTCCATCATATATACCAAAGGCACATTACAAGAGTAAAGCGCTCAAAACATTGTTTCTTCCAACTACAATGTAATGCAACATGCTAATTGAAGTTTCTTAAACCTCTTGAACATTTCCAGGTATAAAATCACTATTTAATTACTATTACCATGCTTTCCTGTGGCCACCTGGCATCTCAGTTTAGTGCAGAGCAAAATAAATGGCAAGAGAATTGCTTCCTTAATGAACAACTTTATAACCTCAACAGTTTTATCCATTTGCAATAAAACATACTAATTAAATTACAGAATTAACACAGAACATTAAGGAAATTTGGACTACTGTCTATATACATAGTGCCTTACTTAGAAAAATTAACT